AAGCATTTACATACTAATCACCATGGTGTTAAATTTATTGTTCAATTTACTTTCGTACTAACAATACTAATATAGTCTAATACTATGTTGTTTCAGGCATAATTGTGGAGTTTTTGTGCTAAAATACATATAATCCTTCGTTTTAGGACAACCAATTGAATCAATTTCGTCCAACAAGATGTGTGGATACAGACGGAAAATTGTAGTTCGATGTTGCTTTTAATGAATATTTCATACGTCCCAGCTAAATGTTTGTACAGTTTGTACGCGGTTAAGTGTTTGTACAGTTTATACTGTCCATGTGACTTATGAAATTTATAATACTTATAAAATTTATAATTTGTGCATCGCATCGTGCATCGCACGGATGAAAGAATAATATCAATTAAAGCACTTCAATGAACTCCTAAAGAGTAAACTGATGACGACCACAAAAAATCCTACAGAATATCCCAAACCAAAGGGAATAGTGTACAACGAAGTTGCTGACTCTTCCTCCTCCGGTGCCGGGGGCAACATTTCATCTTCACCTCCGTTGCTTGCTGGAGGGCAATTTTTTTGCAGTACAGACCCACAAAGTTTAGGATTCCCCTCAAATGAAGTGTTTGTGAATGTATCAAATTGACCACCCTTTGGAATCTCTCCTTCTAAATCATTGTTTGCCACGGTGAAATGAGACAAGAAATGAAGTTTTTTCAGAGATTCGGGGATCTCGCCGGTGAGATGGTTCCCCGACATGTCCAATTTCTCTAAATTGACAAGACGGGATAATTCATTTGGAATGCTTCCATTGAAGTAGTTATCGTTGAGATCCAGTTCTGTAAGAAGTCTCAAGTTTCCTAATTCTGCCGGAAGATTCCCACTCAGACCGTTATTCCCAACTTTGATTCCCTTTGGCAAGTTGAATAGTCGATTGTACTGGAGACTGTAGAATAAGAAAGGCAACGCTAAATTACTCAAGTTTGAGTCTGCATCGTCTGAAACTAAAGCGTTTAGGTTGCCAATTTCGCGAGGAAGTTCTCCAGTGAGGTGATTTCGAGTGATGTTTAGTACAAAAAGGCTAGGCATACTCCCCAGCCATTTTGGAATTGTGCCCGTAATTTGATTGTACGACAGATTCAGCACTTTGAGTTTCTTTAATTTTCCAATCCAAGAAGGCACTTCACCTTTGAGTTTGCATTCACCCAGACTGAGAATTTGTAGATTTTGGAACCCATTTAGATGTAATAAATGGCCATCATTTGGCACCGGTTCATCATTGAAGCACCCTGTCAGGAAGAGAACAGAAAGATGATCGCAGCGTATAAGAATCCTAAAAGCTCCAACAACGTTAGACAGGAAATTGTAGGAAAGTGAGAGATGGGAAAAAGATTTTAAGCCAGCCATGCAAGCTGGGATTTCGCCCGTCAACTGGTTATATGCTAATCGAACTGCAATTAGGGATCTACACAAGCACAGGCTAACTGGAATGTTCCCCACAAAGCTATTGTTCCCAAAATCAATTGCTTCCAGTTTCTTAAGTGGGGAAAAATCAAGATTCGCAATTTCTCCTCCTAAATGATTATTTCGTAAAAGCAGCGTTTTCAGGCTGGTGCAATTCA